TTAGACTATAGCTCATATTGTGTGAAAGCTTCTAGAAATCCAGGGGTGCAACCCCAGAGCCCTTGGTCTCCGACGAGCCAGGCACAGGGCAGGAAACGCGTCTCTGCCGGCAAACCATCCTCCGACGCAACACTGCCTGTCTAGGGTTGAAACCATGGGCCCCTACTATGGGCCCTTAATCCTGGGATCCTTATATACCTGTCATCCACTCTATTTGTACCCTTAAGGGTCCCTAGAATCCTCCCAAAAGGCCTAAGGGCCCATATTAGGGGCCCATACTTCTAACCTTGGAGCCTGACAGCGGAACAGCTCGGATGGGGGTGCGAACAACCTTGGCCGCTGTTGAGGAGCTTAGGGTTTAGGGCTTAGGGTTTACCAGGAATAAGGGGCTTACTACATAGCCATATCATGGTAACCTAAATCCTAAAACCTATACACCCGTATTGTTGTAAATTAAACCTGAGCCCTAAACCCTATATACCCACAGGTAACTGAATTAAAACTCCTCAACAGCAACCCAGCAACATCCAGGCCCCAGGGCATGTGACCCTGGCAGAGAACTATGTAATCGCGCTCAAGGGCCAAGGTCTCCTTCAGTCGGGCTGTCTACAACAACATGAGCTTGAGGGTTTAGGGTTCGGGGTTAGGGCTTAAGGTTTGGGGTTCGGGGTCTGGGGTTTAGGGCTTTGGAGTCTACAACAACATGAGTAGTGTCTTCGTGGCGGCTGAATGAAGTAAAATATACACTCCTATCAACCACTCAAACCCGAAAAGATGACTTCGTCAATATTTCAGGACTGTAAATCCCTAAACCCTACCATAAACCCTGACCCGTAAACCCTACACACACACACACACACACACACCCACACCCTTCTGCAGCCCTGAGGTCTGGTCAGTTGCTTGCGAGCCCAGATTTATAAACCGTATGGGCACTTCCCAAACTTAGTACCTATATATATATATATGAGAGAGTAGCTTTTCTAGGGATAATGGAAAATAAAAGGGAAACTACTCTTAAGGTTTTGGGTTTTGGGTCTAGGGTAGTTCCCCAAATTAGGGTCCACTTTTGGTACCTCAAAATTCTAAGTGCCGAAATAGAATCTATAACCACAAGGGGCCCATAGCTTCGAGAAGAACAGCCCCTATAGTCGAAGCCCACCTTAACTTCCTCAGTCCTGCTGCATACGCAGAGCGTAGTAAGCCTGGTAGGACGTCGCAGCAAGCACGATGCCCTCAGATGGCAGGTCCAGGCGACCCAGGAAACCAAAGCCACAAGCCTGGGCGGCTGTAAAGGAACTTAAATTAAGTTACCATAATAGAGGGGTTAAATACTGATAATGGAACATGAAAAGGAAACTACTTTGTAGGGTCTAGGGCTACCATAATGGGTGTATATATATATATAGAGTAAGTACGAGAGTTTTCCCAATAGAGTAGCTTAAGTTAGATTCCTTAGCAGCAACCCAGAAGCCGGGTCCCTCAGCACCGGGGAACGCGGGCAGAGCCCCCGCAGAAAGGTCGACAGCTTCGGAGGAGATGATCCCAAACGTGACACGGCGTCCTTGCCTGTTTAGGGTTTAGCAGAAAGTGTTTAGGGTTTAGGGTTTAGGCGTCCTTGCCTCCGTCAACTTCCCAGCCAGGTGGCTTTCGCATGAAGACAATGTCATAAGCATGGAGCAGAATCTGAGGCCCATCTTCCATAGGCACAGCTGCAGCTGGGGAGCCATCAACTGCCCTGTTCTCTTGGGATGTGCTGGGCAGCTCAGAGTCCCACCTCCGCCCAACTTCTGAAACCAGCCGAGACGCCAGCCCTAGCAGGGGCTCCGCTCGTACCCTTGCAAAAGAGAATGCCCACACAAGCTGGAGCGCGGGGTCTAGGAGCTCTCGGTGCATCTCTGACTTGGGCTGTCCATCCAAACCAGAACTCTGAAGTTGGCGTAGGCACTTTGTGATCTGTGTGTATGCAGCAGGCATGATGGTCTCTTCGAGGTAGCAGCTGTCAAAAGAAAGGGTTGTCCATGACCAAGCAACTGAGGCCATGGCTCGCAGATTCATTCCCGTGCAGACACGAGGGACTTTCGCTGCCCATGCGGAACAAACAAACCGAGCAGCTGCCATGGACCATGACACGGCTGCAAGCTCCTGCGGAGAAAACTCTGGCTGGCGAATGGCGGCACTGCCCAGCGCCGCCCACAGCCTGGGCGCAGCCTGCTGCGAGTAGAGGACCGTTGCAAAAGCCCAGCAAGTGCGGGCGAGCTCTTGGGGCGGAAAGCTCTTGGTGCACAAGGCCCTCTCTGTTGCCACTGCCATCGTGGACCAGAACGGCCCTGCCTGCGCAAGGGTGGCAAAGGCCCAAGCAGCTGCAGCTAGCGGTTTTGGCATCAGGCCACGCACTGCATGCTCCGACACGATGAACAAGGCCTGGTCTGCTGCAGAACTGGAGCTTGAAGAAATCTGAGGTCTCACAGCCAGGGCCCACAGGATTGCTGCTGCTTCTTGCGCTTTGAGCTCTTGGGCACGTGACGTGGCCACTCTTGCAGCCGCTTCTTGCAAAGGCGACGAACCACCGGACAGCAGCGCTGTGGCCCAGATGACATTCGCAGCTACCTGGGTCCCAGTCGCATGAGAAATGGTGGAGAGGACGGAGGATGCTTGGGCTGCCAATAGGAGGGGACTGTGGTCCTGACGCAGCGTCGCACAGGCCCAGAGAGTGTTGGATATGCTCTGGGCCGACATCTGCCACATCGCCGATGCAGCATGGCCCGCAAGAACTTCTACATGGATGCCCGGAGTGGAAAGCGATGCGAAAGACCAGAGTGTCATGGAAAGGCCCTGCGCATCCATGAAAGGGGCTTTACGTGCCAGAAGCACCGGCAAGTCCTGCTTTGCCGTCGTAAACCCCAGCTTCAGTCTTCCTACTGACCAAGCAACCAACGACAGCTGGCGAGGAGTCAGAGCGGCCAGCGTTTCGGGGCTCAGCTCATCAAGTTCAGAAAGACTGACCTTCTCCGCATTGGAGCGCTTGGCCACTTGATGGAGTTTGGTAACTGCCAAAGTTGCTGTGCGAGCAGCTTCCCCAGACTGGCGGAGGGATCTATCGATTGCAGTTCCATTGATCAGTCTTGCTGGCATCAGGTGCGAGATGCCAAAATTTGTTGCTCAGCAACATGGTACTGGAGCTGAAGTCCCAGTGGCCGCAGCCGGCAGCAGCCACCTGCTGCCTACATGGCCCTTCCGAGCACTCCGGTCGCCATGGCAGGCTTTGCATCACGAACGCAAGGCTCGAGCCCTTCTACCCAACAGCCGGGCAGAGTGTGCTTTCACGACAAACTCACATGTCCTGACTTGGCAGCAACCTGTACCCCACAATTCCATGATTAATAAACCCCCCAAAATAGGGATCCTAGTAAAAAGGCCCTTAAAAGGAGGGGGCCCTAAACCTTAATATTAAGGCCCTTACAAGTGGGGATTCATTAACCACGGGTCTACGTTACCCCCGATTCCACCTACATCTTTTGTGGGGTTACACCTACTCATTAGATTAGGGGGCAAGTATTACCAAGCTGCCAATATTTTGAGGGTTGAAAATCTCCTATATACCCCTGTATATCCCCTAAATATCCCTATATATCCCTCTATATATACATATATATGTATCCCCTATATATCATATTTCCCCTATACATCCCCTACATGACCCTACATTTCCCTGTATGCATCTACATAGACATATGCATATACATATGCGTATACATATGCATCTATATACATATACATATATATACATATATATATATACATATATGAGCCCGATACTTTTTGGTAATATTTAACCACGTTTGCCTTTTTGCTATCATAAAACCTATTCTAACTTTAAATACAATCCTGTTTGCATGTATTAAAATACTACACTTGTCATTGTGTTTCGGTAGTTCGCGCAACAGCATTCATAATAAATTGCAATCATGATATTACATATAATACATATGCATTCATCGGAAATCTAACATGAGAAGATGCAGCACATGCATTCCGAATCTGAACAAGTACTAATTCTGTTTCTTGTGCATATGCAACTAATGTGATCCACGTCTTGACTGTGTGTAAACAGCTCTCATTCTGCATGACATCATGACATCACTGAGTGATGTGCACGGACGCTCCACATGTTGAATAAATGAAGTTTTTCGCTATCTATTATATTCATGCAGCACGTTAATTTCATTTTGCTCATACGAATTATACATATGAAGATAAACTGAGTACATAAAACGTGCGACGACATTCTTAGTAAGTTTGATATACTTTATCTTACACAGTATCTCACATCTTATGCAACAGTATGATTATTAAAATGATACACATCAACTATAACTTTATATTGTTTCAGTTGTTCAGTGTTGGGGCCCCGACCACGCCGGAAAGTCGAGGAGGTAAGCCTGTTCCACAGTGACGAGTACATTCTTCAGCGACAGTGCGCACATAAATGCTAGTCCATGTTGCTGGCAAACAAAATGCAGCGCACGACAATGCTTTTTCAGCTTTCATGCATGCTGCACTGTATCCTTCATTTTTTCTGACGCCTGCACTTTTTATACTGTGCCGACGTCTAACTGTCAGAGGAGTGGTATGTTTGATTCTTTTTGAACCATCCTGGCGTCTTGATGCTGGCCTCTTTCTCGCCCATTCGCCTACAAGTGCAGCCTCGGCTTCTCTTGCCTTGCATAACGGCAGTGTAGCTTTCTTACGTGCATTCTCAGCATTCTGCTGAGGAGAGCACCACGTCCTCCACTGCTCTTCGGTCCAAA